GGAGCAAGGACGCTACTAGGGGCTCCTGACATCGCTACTAGGAGCATTCTTACTAGTAGTAGCAAGCCACCTGCCTTGTATGGGCGCCATTTGCCCATCACATCCTCCATCCTCCCCATTTGGCCGCCCCTTTAGGCCGTGGTGGTGAAGGCCTTCGATGATGGCTCGAAAGCCCGCTCCTTTGGCCATTGCCTCGTTGCTGGCATTGACCGAGCTCCTTTGAAAGTCACCAGGCCAGGCCTTGCACCATGTTGGATGAATGTGCAGGAGGTCTTGTTCTATCGCCATCATATTCTACTAGTGGCAAGTGGTCTACCCTGAAGCTGTTTTCGGTCATGTGCACAAAAACCCGCAGTTTGCGTGCCTCGTTGTCACCAACATATTTAGGATGTGTTTGATGAACTTGCCTGATGTTGTAGAGGTCACCGTGTGCCCCGCCACATGTTGCATTTGCATCCATCCCCTGCGTAAGCCAGGGGTATGTCCAAGAAGAAGATTACAAAGAGAACCAAGGTCAAGTGAAGACCTTAGTGTGCGGAAGCGGTCAGTAAGAACAAACTTTGTACTCAACAGGATGATTGCTTGCACATGCCACTAGACCAACCACAAGACAACACATTCCTTGGTTTGCCCTATTTCTGCTGACGGACCAGTCGGCCTTCAGAGAAGCTGGAATGATCCTCTGGACATCAGCTGAGTAGCGCCAAAAATCCTGAGGCCTTTCGTGAAGTATGTCAACTACAACCACGTCATGCCAACCCGATACCAGGCGGGTCAGACCTCCACAGCATTGTCAGTCCGAACTCTGTGGCCTAGCCTGACCAAGTCAAACATTCACAGAACTCTCCGGAGTTCTTGTTCAGCTGGTACCTGATGAACTCCCGCAACGCTGCTTCATTGCTCCTTTCTTTGATGTCCTTTGGTTTGTTCATGTTTGCATTTTTGTTCTGCCCGGCTCTGTGTTTCTCACGGGCTTTGGAGTTGTTTGGCATCAAGGTGAGGTGGCCAAAGGGGGAGTGCATGGCGAACTGAGATGCCTGGGTGTGTCTTCCTCACTTTTCTTGCTCCAAGAGGAATTTGCTTTCTTTCCCCCATTGCCTTGGTGCTTGGACTCGGGACGCAGCGGCCCAAGCGATAGAGAATCAATGACCAACCATGTAATATAACATGTAAAAAAATCAGCGGCCCCACCGGCCCCACCGTGTCCACCGACACTTCGGTCCAGCCGGCCCTCGGTCAAACAGGTAGAAGTGGTGGTCCAACCGGTCCAATCGGAGCCCGTCGACACGAGTGAAAGGTGCCGAACGAGCTGACACCCGCGAGCATTGCCACGGATCAGCAGCAGCTTGGTTGATTTCACGAGTCAGATGCAGAAGAACAGGAGTCCAACAGGTGCAGTGAACTTTTGGAGCAAATCTAATTGTTTGTGGCATTATGCATGGCCATGGCTGTTTAGCTTAATAGCTTCATTCACTTACACTTGGTGCCAACCCTGGCCTAGAAAGGTGGCACCGTGCTCCACGGGATGGCGAAACACATCGAAACACCGCTCCTTCGCGGCTTTAGGATGGATACTCTTGACGGCCGAAAAGAGGCCCGCAAGTTCGCCAAGAGCCGCTCAGCTGAGTGGAAGCCGCGTAGAGCGCTGAGCCCAGTGGTGTTGGAGCAAGTGGTCGGTTAAGAATTGGTGACCACTTACACTGCCGAAAGCTAACGTAGACCCTGACAATGGTCCCATGGAAGACTATTTTCCTCTACCAACCCAGGGGTTTTCAGGTTCCATGGGATCCTTTTCCATGACGATCTTCTATCGTTCGGGGGAATCACCGGTCAGCGGAGGTCTGTTCCAGGAGAAGTTCCAAGCACCGCCGCCGGACAAGTCGGGTCGCCCCTCCAAGGACGGGCTCGGGGGGTCGGGTAGCTCGGGGAGATGGTGGCGGGGTCGGAGTCGTGGACGCACAGGTCCTCTCCCTTCGAGCCTTCGGGTGTGACATTCAGATCTGAGATCAGAGGGCGCCAACAGCGTGCCCACGGGAACGCCGAGGGCGGCAGGTTAATCGGTCTTGCTTGGGAGGATGCGCGCGTAGATGAACAATCTATAATGATCGGGAACATTTCTTACCAGATTTGGTTTGCGCATTTGAGGGCTGTCACTCCTCCCAAACCTGTCACAACATGCAAGCAGTCCACAAACTGAACTTGACGTGTGGCAACCGAGGTGTTTGTTGGTTTGAACCTGCTGTTGAGGGGAGACATCCGGCACCGCCTGCGTTTGGAATTGCACTGACCGCTTTGGACTCCAGTTGGTGCAGAGCTTCTTCACCGAATGCATATCTTTCCCGTCACTCACCTTTTCACTGACCGACTCACCCATTCACCCACAGAAACTCTCTCCCTGTGTGTGCACATTATGCTACAATTGGTAGATTCCAAGTATAATATACTGTATATAGTTAAATAAATACGTATATTACATATATATTAACGTCGGTATATAGTTGTATTTTGTGATATCTATCTATATATATATAAGAAATTGCCACGAAAGTTAGTTCTTTCAGATCTTGGTTCTTTCATTTGGCGGGCCTGGCATCTGGGTGCTTTTTTCCACAAGCACATGTCATCGATACTGTCATCGATTGCTATCTACAAAGCCATTCGCTTCAGCTTTGACCTTGGAAAACCAGTATGCATTATCACTATTGGTCCACTTCCAGTAGCGACGGCCAGTGGGTGTTTCCAACTGATCAACCCGCCATCCATTTTGTTTAAGGATGGTTTGGACGATAGTGCCAACCCTTTTTTGGGTGGCAGGTTTCTTCAAAACATTCTTAGGTTCGATCTCAGGCAGGGCTGGCTTCTCACGACGTGCCACTGCATGTTCTTCTTCTGGCTCTGGGTCCTGGACTTCTGGATCACTCTCTTTGACCTCCTCCTCCTCTCCCTCTTTCTCACTACCATCACCTGGAGGCATCTCAGCAGCTTTGCCTCCATCAACCTTCAGTTCCTCCTCAGGTGTTTCTTCAGGCTTCTCCTCAGGCTTCTCCTCAGGCTTCTGGGCTGCTGGGCGCTTCATGGGTCTTGGTGCACTTGCCGATGCCGGTCTCTTCTTCGGAGTTGCTGCTGCAGCTGCAGGTTTCTTCATCCTACCTGAGCGGGCGAATATCCAAAGCCCTTTAACATGCGGACAGGGATATTTAAAGAATCTATGGACCCTTTGGACGTCTATGTATAGACAACGAATCATTAATATCACCATCAAAAGACCCAGAGTATCTCAGAATCTAGCAATCTCAAACAAGGGGCCCTTTGCTTCTCTCCCTTTGCGCTTGTCTTGCTCGGTCACCTCACCCTCCGGAGTCTGCTTCGGTGATGCTTTTGGCGATGGGGTTGCAATCATGACACCACCAGAGCTCTCACCTCCCCCAGACTTCCTCCCTAAACCAGTGCTAACGCTGTGAGAGCGCCGAACAGCGCCACCATCACCACGCTGGCCCTGGTGAAAACTCTCGAGAATCCGCCCTGCGATGTCCACTCCGATTTGGTCCATGGCGTTGGCACCTTTGTTTGGTGGATGCCAGATTCAAAATCCTTGATCCAGTAGCAACCATTGCAATCTTGAATGCTTATTTTTGAATATTATATAGTCTGAAGATTCTCAAAGTCACGTCTCGACATTCGCAGTACCAGTAATTACCAGTGACTCGATTGCATCGACTTTACCGACTGACCATGTTCGAGATGTTGCTTCCAATGGTTGACTTATTCTGAATTAGGTGGGTTACGAGGCTTTCATAAACTGCAATGCTGACAGTCAAGATATGGCTGCCCGACTGTTTTTCCGCATTGGTTTCAACTCGCTATATAGGTGCCCAAAAAGAAACGAATGATGCATAGGCCTGAGACCGGTTGTCAGCCCCTACATAGTCCTAGCTACTGTATTCACATCATCTAGCATTGCACTAACAGCTTGAAACCTGTAAAAAATTTGAGGGACTACTTCAGCATGGTTAAGTAAGGTCTGGAGGTCGTTCAAGGCCATCTCCAGCTCGTTGAGTACTATCGCCTTCATGTCTGGAATCCGGAGCATACTGGTAAGCTTGGTTCTCAGTGGGGCAGGCGTGGTTGGTCGTGGCAGCGGGATGATGTCGGTAGCCTCAACCCACGCACTGGTCTTCAGGACCCCCGAACCAAGCACACCTTCTCCATCCATTTGGACCTTGAAACTCATGTTCGCTAACATGGTCAAGATCTGCATAGTTTCCAAACACATTTGGAGCTGGGTAGGGCTATCTGCCCATACCACTGCCAGCTTCTTCAAGAGCTCCCTGATGTTCTCATGTTGGAACTGGCTGCGGTTGCTCATTTCAGCAATGCCATAAACCGCCAGGAAACCCGCAAAAAGCTTCTCAACATCCTCAAATGTGAATGGTGTGATCTTTGGAGCCAGCGCCATCACACCCACGATGTCCGGTGGTAAGAGTGCCAGCCAGGGAATTAGAATCGAAGATACTTGAGCATCATATTCCGATGACCCGGTTCATGAATGCAAACGATTTTCTCAACAGATTTTCCATGGATGGTTTCACTTTATCTCAAGCAAACCAAGATCCCTTGATGAAGTAACTGGCTGGTCACTGGCCCTTTGAGTTTAATCCTTTCACGCTGCTGCCGATCAATGATTTTTCCAGCAGACCTTGGAATGTCGCCGCAGATCCTGACTGATTCCACACTCAGTCTAGGCTAACTAGGCCAGGGCTCCAGGCCCTCTGGATTGTTCCCGCTCACCGTTTAGGTAGCACCGCGACGTAACACAGAATCATACCATAAACAGTAATAGCAAATGATATCTTTGCAATCAAAGTTAAAGATTCTGATCAAGAGATGCAACCAACAGTGATAAGTAGGTGATAAGTTTGGATGTGAGGCGGGTTGCTACAAAGCATCAACGGTGTTCCCACACATGGTATGATTTACCAACATCCCTCATCCAAAATTGTTTCTCAGGGCGAGGAGACACTGACTGCCGAAACAAGGGGATGCCTTTGAACAAGTTTCGAATTGGGGAATGAAGTCAATCTTTTACATCATCTCAACCTATATGTCGGATTCAATCTATCCATATCTATCCCAAATACCGAGAAAACAATGATACAGCAGCCAGCGATGCTCATGTCAGCTTCAGAGGTTTGTCCTTCTGAAGGGTCAACGCACGCCCAGTGATCATGTAGGGACGCTGGATCTTAAAATTTTGACCAACTCGCTCAAAGCGATAGCGGCACACTGTCAAAGCCAGGTTGCGAGGCAAGGTTGGGCCCACACACTTCGAAAAAAGATTCTTCGAAGTCACACGCTCTGAGGCACCTTCAGCAAAAGAGCGCGGATCCCTCAAGCATCGAAAGGTCATTGGTGCTTTGATGGACACTTCAAAGCCATCCTCGCCAGCTTGGACCGCTGCCTTCCGCTTCACCTCGAGGAAAGAGACGCGGTGCGATGTAATGTTCTTCTCCGTTTCCGCACGAATGAGCATCTTGTACAGGGTCATGGTGGTGCATCCCTGCGCCTCTGATGAAAAAGACGTTTCGTCAAGCTGGAACAGACTCTTGTCCCCATGGGGTAAGGCAAAAGGAATCCCAGGCTCTGAGCATTCAGCTTCCGCCAGCCATTGGCCTGTTCCGAAGCCGCCCAAGACGACGTGCTTTCCAACTGATTTGCCCTGGCTGCTGACCAACCAGACAGACTTGTCCTTGCACAGAATGAGCTCCACCTGAGGGCATTCACTTGGAACCCGATGCTCAATGCCAGGGTCTTCCTGCAGCTTGGCGATGGATTCCACCTCTACTGTGGCTGGTGTCGGCTCCTGTTCAGTCTGTGGGGCAGCTGACTCACTGGTCGAAGAAGCAGCTACCACGCTCGATTGACCGACTAGATCAAGATGTCTTTGACGAAGGCCCTCGTACTCGGTGAGGAGTGCCCCGGTCTGCGCAGACCAGAACCTGGGCAAGATCACCCAAAGTCCAAGTCCAATCAAAACAAGAAAACAAACTTAAGCCCAGAATGCCTTGAAGCTTCAAGGCTTTCAAGTCCAATAATTATCAAAACAGACTTGGAGATTTACCCTGTTGAAGCCCAGATAGCCCCGACTAAAAACAATATGGCGAGGAGCTTGTGTTCGTCGGTCTTTATCAACATTCGATCACCCAGACGCTCGAGAACCTCAAACTGCAAGGTGTCCAGGTTTCCCATCCTGGCTCCAGCGCCCGGGATGCTGGCGATTTCCTGCTCACTCAACTCCGGGGCATCCATGCTGAAGCGGTGGCCACCGTGCTCGAACCTTCGCTGGGTCCAACCATCAGTGATATCTCGGGTCAGCCTGGCTTGGCCAAACAGATCTTTGCTGATCCACTGCACCGAGTGGTAGTAGAGCTGATCGGTTGTGAAGCCACCCTTGAGCTCCTGGTTGGCCAGACGCATTTCAAAAACCTCGGTCGGCGACGGATGACAGTCAGTGAACTCATTGAACATCATTGAACCATTGGATCAGACCTGGTTTTGATGGTAATACGAGATTGGGCTGATTAAAGTCAGTCTAAGGATACCATAGGATACCACCATGTACAAAAACTGATAGTTACAATTGGGAGCTCAATCTTACTGGAGTGAATAGGTTCTTGAGATTGGTTTCGAGATGTTTCGAGGATCATGGTCTATCATACTTTTGAGGGTTTTCTCATATAATAGGAATCTAGGGAATCTAGGGTCTCTTGGATTACAAAACCACGCCCAATGAACGGATCTCCTGCTTTTTGTTTTTTCCCAACAAGTTTCGTGCGATGTCTCTTTAATTAAGGACGCCACATTCTGACCCAGTTCAAAGAAAGCTATCCTCCGATACGTTTCATTTGCGAAGCATTTGCCGCAACAACGTAAAGGAAGTAAGGAGGCTGGCTTCTGGGAAAACCCTGCTTTGTACGCATCCCTTCTCCACCTCTCGCAATGTTGCGACATGGGTTGGGCTCGGTCTCCAAAAAGTAATCTATCAGGCATGCTTCCAGGGTTTCTATTTGGGCAAGTGAATTACTTGCATGGATGCACCACATTTCTGAATAGTTTGCTTCGTAGTAGTACTCTGCACGAACTTCCAAGCACTGGGTGATGCCAATCTTGTACACTGCCAATTGTTTTCCCCCATGTCTTTCTCGAAGTCGATGGATTTGGTCCTACTGTGCAACATGTACCACAGGGATCTTTTCGGGCGAGTATGGGGAATGTTTGCCTTGTGGATGCACATTACTTTGCGATGATTTGCCCACAGTGGGTGAGAGCATTTGAGAAATTCAACACTTTATAACCGATGTTCATGCACAGTGTTGGGGGTGGATGGACATACCAAAAGTTCTTCGAGAATCTGACTCAATAATAGTGTTGATTTGGAATCATAAGTCGAACTACTCTGGGGAGTTTCTTAAGATGACAAGCTACATAATATTAAAGAAACAAACTGGATTCCCGGACCCCCTGAGAAAATCAGTCCTTGCAATGTTTCAGAATGTGGCCAACTCTCATTGACGGCCGCTGAACCCGAATCCCGATTCCAGCTCTTTCCGGTTTGCTCGACCAACCCACTGGCAGTGCTGAATGTGGCGAGAGCTCACAGTGAACACATTCATCATGTTCATGAATAGGGGTGGAAGTCACAATGGCAGGTGAAGTCACCGAACTTGATGAAGCCACAGTGTTGGTTGACCCTACTGGGCTGTCCGGTTCATCATGCCATGGCATTATGCATTTGGCACGTTCGAAGAAATGGTCAGGGCCACAGAGCAACATGGGGGTAACATCTCAAACTGGAGCCAATGCCTCTGGATATGAAAGCCTGGATTTTACTGTTTTGGGACTTTTGGGACTAAGTATTGAAGCAGTGTTGGGGTACTGTTTGCATTAAACAATGTTTGCATTTGTTCGAACTATCACCCATCCCACCGCTGAGAGCGCCAAGGGACAGCGCACCCAACATCTTCAATGTATCCAGTGAGGTTCAGCACGATGCATGGTTTGTGCTTCATGTTCTCCCCATTCACCGTGAGCAGTGATCTCAGCAAGGCCATCCACCTCTTGGTCCCTTTTTGTGCTTGGCAGGCCTCATTGCTAGGGCGTTGCCGTTCAGCCTGTTTCAGATCAGCCTCCGGGTCCAAGCTTTCAGGCAAAAGCATGTCCTTGGACAATGGAAGGGTGATGTCATCATCCGTTGAGAGAGGCCTGCCGCACAAACCAAGCTCAGAGGCAGTGACGAAGACGTTCTCGCTGGTGCTGTCTACGTTGCACACCAGTCGTCCCGAGCTGAAGCGCCTTGCCACGGTGCGCCATGAACTTGTTGTTAAAACCCAGTCGTGCATGCAAGTAATGAGAACTGATTGTTATTCAAATTCCTTTGGAACTTGGATGACCCTTTTATAAACAAAACTTGCAATCGTTTTTGAAATGGAACCAGTAAGATTGAGAAGATTGGCTGATGATGTCAATCACGAATTATGGCAACAGGCCCTGCCTCCGATTGGTATGAGGCTCAGCAGCCGGGTGGATGTTAAATGGACAGATCCATCTCACATCGCAGCTCTGCCGCAAAGACCAGAGTGCATTTTGCACTTCACTCTCTTCGTCTGCTAAGCCACGCTTCGACGATTTTTTTGGAACTTCCGGCAGCTCCAAGAGAGCGCAAGATCGGCTCGGGGAAAGGTCATTCGCGAATTGCAGGCAGGCACAAAGGTCGCCCACAGTTTCGGTATTCTTGGCACCTGGAACGTTGAGGTCCACAATGATGATGCAGTAGAGATCTTGATCTGGTTTGCATCCAGCACTCTGTGCCTTAGGCATTGCCGGTGGCAATGGAGAGAGGGCCCCAACTTCAATTTGCTTAAGCCTGAGTGGCCTTACATCGTTCTCATGTCATGTTTGGATGAAAACTACATCCAGTGAATCTATGTCTTACCAATTCTTATCTAGTAGTGTTGTGAGTCAGGAGATGTTGAAAAAACTCAGAGTAGAAAGTTGCAACAGAAAACTCACCCAATTCAATATGATCTCAGTTGCCACGAAAGACCGATACTCATTGATCTTCTGCTGTGCCAGCTCTGGTTTGGTGACTAGGTCGCATCGAAAGTATTTGTCCTTGTACGACTTGATGACCTTTTCACCAGTCTTGGCCTGCTCAAGACGCCATGCAACCTGTTTGCGATGTTTCAATGCTTCCAGCTTCGATGGAGCCTCTTGGGCCATTTGGAGCTTGTCCTGATCTCGTTGTAGGGCATTTTTGAAAAAAGCCCACCGAGCATCCCTCACTGCAAGCCGCTCCTTTTCAACTTCAAGGGATGCCCCCTCTTCCTGTTCCCTGATAGCCTCCATGGCTTGTTTCTGAGCGCATGGAAGCATTGAGACTCCGAATTGAGCTGGCCTGCTATCCAGCACAGGTTGCAGCTCGTGGTCCTTCGTGTTGCCTGTGCAGATTGCTCTGTCCAGGTCGGCGTAGTTGGCCACACGGGTGGAGCAGAACTGCCGAATTTGGCACCAAAGACAAATCATGTTCCTGAGGTTCATGAGCTCCTCTTCTCCCATGCGATATTTCTTCCGATCACTGGGTTGGTCAATGATTGCAGTTGCCCGTTCGAAGGTCCTGCGGATTCTCTGGAACAAGATCCCTTGGGCTGTGGCATCCATTTGAAGTGCCCAATTGATGGTAATGGTTGCCTCATTGCTGGCCGGCGCAATCTCGCAAGCACTCATAGGCGCCAAACCAGCCGTAGATTCCAAGAAGATGAACTTCAGGATTGAAAGCTGCTCCCCCCATGGGCCAAATTGGAAGGGCCCATCTCGCAAAGAGACGGTGACCTCCTCGTGAGCTGCATCCGACGTCAGCTCTAGCCAATGCTTGATCGCATACTGCTTCTTGCTGTCCAAGAGAAGGCTGCCACTTCCAGCTTTCTCCTAGCATTCAGGCAGAAGGTCATGAGAGACAAAGGATTGAAGTGGCTATGGAGAGTACTATGGAGAGTATAGTATATAGCAAAAACTGCTGATCAGTGTGAACAAACAATTTTCTGGGCCATAGCTTCTACAGATAGTCACAGCAACACACAATAGGTTTGAACAACTTCAACCACCATGGCATCACCAAAACCTATCAAGCAGATGTCAATGCCTTTTTTCCTCGGCGCTCCTTGCCCGCACCACCATGAGCGGCAACTTCTGGATTATTGTTGTACATCTCGATCGCCTCTTGGACTGTCAGCGCCTTGTTTTTCTTCGAGCTGTTGGCATTCATGTTCTTCAAGATGATGCTCCACTCGTAGGAGGAGACTGCCTGCTTTTTGGCATCGACATTTTGTTTGATGATTCTCCGGATCATGGCAGTAGACTCATCCGAGGCGATGGCCTTCTGACAAGTGGGAATGTTCAGAAGACCCCTCACCAACTCCACCATCGAGGGGTTCACCAGGTCTTCATCTTTGAAGCTAAGGCCATAGTAGACCAGCCCAACCCAAACCACTGCAGCGGCAAGACCACGCATGCCACCATCATCGAATTGAAGAGAGTTCTGCACGTGGGGTTCATCCTCCGTGGGGCCATCCTCCCCATCAGCAAAGCGCATGCCAAGGACTTCACCCTGAGTGGCGGCTGCGCAAGGTCGTTGGCCGCAAGATGCAGGATGTCTTGGGTGATATCATCATGAATGAATCCACAAAAGAAATCAATCATGGTCGATCAGCCTTGTTGTTTATGAACCCGAAGCGATTCCCACTGGTTGGGAGCAGGGATCTGAATTCTATAGATGCCACTAGATTCAAATCTGAGTTGTAGGTATTTGTGATTCGTGATAATGGTGACATTCCCAAAATTCCTGGATGGAAACCAAGGGTTTGGGTTCATCAGTTGGTTCCCATCCGGGTTCATTCAATCCTGATGGGCGGCGAGGAATCTGACTCCGGGAGGGCGGCGAGGTGGTGGGGCCGGGATGGGCGGCGAGCTCTTCCTGGAAGAGCTCTCCACCCTCTCCACTTTGATCTTGGATTTGGAATCTCAGAGCGGCGAGCTCTTCCTGGAAGAGCTCTCCGCTCAGGTTCTCCCGGGTCCCTCATCCTGAATCCAGGTGAGTAGTCCCAATCCTTCCCCAGTACTACAGGGTCCAGGTCCCTAGACTTCCCAAGTCCTGGCTCCCACCCCAAATTTGGTCAGCTAGATCATCATGAAGAGCCCACATCTTCGACCGGCGAGCTCTTCCTGGAAGAGCTCTCCGCTCCCACTTTTTTTTGAGATGTCAAAGCGGAGAGATCCCCTTCAAAAGTGCTTTTGAAAAACCAAAATCCTGGCAGGTTTTGGGGCAGGCCGAGAAAAGCTTCCCAAACTGATCCTGACACCTCCCAGCAATCCAAATCCAAGGTGCGTCTCGCCAGCCGATCAAGCAGATGCTCTTCGCGATGTCCATCACCGTCGCCATATCTGGAATCCTCCAAAAGCTCCGGTTCGCGAAGCTCCACTGCAGAATGGAAGTGGTGAAGAAGGAGCCAGGGCCCTTGAGATCCTGCATTCGAAGAATGTAGAGAGCTAGAAGCACCCCACACATCTATTGAATCTATTGAGATGTAGTTTCTGACTCGCAACAATTGAAGTAGCTGCATGCTATTTGGAGGAATACAGTGATGTGTCCATTCACTGGTGTGCAACACCTTTGATAGAACATGGGTCCCGGGTAGGTTACAGCTCGGTTTGTTCATCATAGTCCTCAAGTTTCATATACTTGTTCATGAAGTCTTCCTCGGTGCTACCACTGTCGATGATACCCAGCTTTTTCACTAGGACCAGGCTGTCATTGATCAAGGCCTCCTCATCGCACCAGCAGCGTTGGACAACATCCAAGAACGACCCCCCGGATTCTAAAGGCCACTTGCGCTTCTCAAGAAATCCATGTCGCCCACCATAGACCTGGGTGATCCAATCCCTCAACTGGATCCTGCCACTTGCCACATCCGCAACAGTCTGTGGGTGGGCAGCTTTGACATTGGATTGGGCAACCTTTTGCTTCTTCTTGGGCGGCATGGCTGGGAAGCTACCCTGAAGCTGGCTAGAATTCAAGATTGTGCCCCTGCCTGCAATCAAAAAATAAGAGATACTGTACCGAGATCAAGAGGTGATGAGAAATGCAATATCAGAAACCACGAAAGGAACTAACTCTATCAAGTTCTTGCAGCAGTGTTACTTCGGATACCTTTGGCCTGCCTTCTCATGGGTGGCCCTACATGATCCAAGTCCCTCATAGGTGTTTTTTGCAGCTCAAGAGTTGTTGGTAGATCCAACACAAAGATGATGCTAGCCACCATCCACAGTCGTGTGGGGTCTTCCCACAACAAATTTTGATAATCTAGCCAACACCACAAGAGGCGTTGGTAAAATAGATCCAAAATAGATCCAAGATTCACCGGTTCACCGATTGCTCCACGCACCCCTCACTGCCGCGGCTCCCAGTTGGCTAAAATAGCCACCAAAGCGCCAAGGTGCACCGGAACGGAGAACCTCGTGAAACAGTCCACTGGGTCGCAGTGGTATTTGGGGGTTGTTCTGGGCGGTGTACCTGTAAATGAGAAATGAGAACCATGGCCAAACTTCAGATTGAAAGAAATGTGGCCCAACACAGAAGCATAAATTAACAAAGACAAATCATCGTATGGTCACAACCGTTGGGGATCGTGCATCAGGTTTACCGACGAGTTCGTGAAAGACAGCTCATGTCCCCCAAAGCCCGGACTGCAGAAAGATAATCACTGATGATAGAAACTTGACCCGCTGTCAGGGAACGTCCTTCAACAATTTATAGATATCGGCACCCTTATGAGAACCAATACTTGGACGACATGTGTTATGAAATTTGTAGCCGCCGTATGTTCGTGTATGACTTCTCCAGGTTGAGAGAGATTGACTCTCATTGGAAACTTAGATAATGTGTTTATCACCTCTGATTTTCAGCTACATGTTTTATAGTTGATGGGGCGCTTAACTGTCCGCTTTATCCAGTAGCCACTTCAACCGAAGCAACGAATTGCCGATGAACTTGCGCATGTTGTGATCAGATTCTTGATCCATGCGGAACCTGGCCCATTCCGTGGCGCCAACACCCTGCAGGCGAGCAAGCTCCTCAACAATTGGGCGAAGCTGGTTGTTTTTATCGATTGGACTGTCGAAGCTCGACCTGACCTGTAGCTATTATCGAATCTAGACATTCTGTGGAACACTATGGAAGAACCATAACACAATGCAAGAAGCGAAAGCGACTTAGTGTCCATCATGGTTTTAGCGTCGTTGCGATCCAAAACTGATTGTTCTTGATAGCTATATCTCGACCCCGTCCTTCGCAGAAAGAGTTCGGAAGCCACCAGGTCCAGTTGCCACATACTTGCCACCCGGGATGATGCAGGTTGTGGTGTAGTGATCAGCTTTGGGGTAGGTGGCTCGAGTAAAGTTCTGGTCCTGGGATGCTTGAGGTCTCTTGTGAATTCCCTACTCCATGATGTTTTTGGTTGGGTATTGTTAGACAGGGTTGTTCAGAGATACGATTTCTAAGCAAAAAAATACTTCCGCCCAAAAAAGCTCATTCCATGCAAGGCATGGGATTGCTATCAAAAGGGTCCACTTGAATGACAGCCAACTGGGTCATTGCATCGACCCCCTTGTTGACAAAGAGATCCTCAATGGCCACAGCTAGAATGCTGACCTCCCGCTCGCTGCAGCCGACCGCCAAAGCCTTGAGGATCTTGACGCGTTGGTTGAGTCTCACCTGGGGCGCTTGGACTGGCAACGACTGGCATTTGATGATTCTTGGCGTTGAGAAGCCTTAGAACAGTCCTTTATTGAACTGACCAGCCAACCTAGATTCAAACCCTTCCAAAGTTCAGGTGGCAAGTATATCGATTTATCAAATTTGTATAATGGTACCCCGGCCTTCCCAAAGACATCACATTGCTCCTGAAAGCCTTTCAGCCATTTGCTTCGATTCTTATCGAAACACTTCGTCTTCTTGCTAGGACGACCGTTGTCCTCCACGGTGAGGTCCAAACACTTGCTCAACTGGACGTAGCATCGACGAAACCGGTTGACATCCGAGGTGAGAGCTTCTGCAGAACAAGACACCTCTGACGCTAGGTGGCAAAGGACCCAAGCGCGGCGTCTCTGTTGGGGCAGGCCGAAATCGGCCGTGTTATGAAGGCCTCCAGACACCTGGTAGCCCATGTCCTCCAGCCGCTTCTTGATGAGGGAATACCTCAGAGTGGGAATGAATGATACCGTGGTGACGGTGAAGTAAGGATCCATTTTTGCAAAAATCAGTGCCCAAGCCTGCCCAGAGGCAACATTCTTGCTGACTAAAAATTGAGCTAAATTATCTTTAAAAAAGTAATGATATGCAAGGAACGCGGATTCGCCATGTTCAGCCTCTCTCTTGGCATACAAAGTGGCAACATTTTCAAGCAGAACCATCCTGGGCTTGTGTCTCCCTATGTAGTCTTCCATCCCAAGATAGCCCCGGCCAGACTCACAGTCAGCGCTCAGCACAGACCCAGGTGTGGATGTGAGCATGGACAAAGATACACAGGGGAATCCTGCCACCAAAAGGTCCACCTAAAGGGAATGCAGAAGGCTGATTTCTCCATTAAATTGCAATCTTTGATGATTAAACAACATGTCGTTCCCAATGGACTACCACTATTCCTACCACTCACTATGAAATGGGTGATTTATGAAAGGAAGACCAACCCCATGTGCCTTTGGGACTTTGGCTGCCTTTCCATCGGACGTAGAGGCATGCGCTTTCCCCATCTCGGTCACATCCCGGAATATCAAGATCCCAGGAAACCGCGAAGCCAAGTACTTCTGCTTGCTCTTGTCGATCTCCGCCATGAAGCGAAGATTCACCTGTCGGAAGCTGGGCTGGTGACCGGAGGGCGGATGGTTGCTCCAAGACAAGAGGTTTCCCAAGGCTTCACATTTGGTGTTTGAATTCCATACCTTGAAGACCAACCAATACAAAGAGCTTTAGAATATCACCTGCCTTAGGGCTGTGGGGTTCCTGGATCCATGTCATTGGAAGCCTGAGACGTTTGACCGTGATGTTGGTGGTTCTTCCCAGGAAATGCTGGTTGGCTATTGACTAAACGTGGGCAGAATTCACAGAAGACATGTGGAACTTTCGTTGCCCAAACCAGCTGCTAATCTCAAGTCTCACAACATCCCCCATAGGACAACTCCGCCTTTCCCAATTAAAGACAAGTTTGGGGGTTCTCCGAGCTCGAGTTTCAGGCCACAGGGCTTTTAAGAGCAACTGTTCAAATCCTTGAAATCCTTGATACGATATGAAAATTAATAAACGAGTCGGTATTATATTTTAGAAAATAGAGCCTTTGGTTGTTTCCACCCTGTGTCAGAGTCAATGATACTTGATTGTTGAGCCCGAAGTTCCTCAAACACGAATGCAATAATAACAACTGTCCGCAAAGCCTTCATAGAGGCAGAGCTGTCACGGGATTGGGAGACCGAATCGTTCCACTCATTCTGGAGTGCATCAAGCACCATTTCCAGCACTGCCCAACCACTGAACATGCTTCCCACGCTGATGGTATCCACCCTGTTCAAGGTGTCCACCAGCTTAGTGCGCAGATGACTGAAGACAGGATTGTGCACGAAGTCTGTCACAAAGGCATCTACCTAGGAAATTGGAGACTTGGAGAACCGGATCAATGGTGATTTGGTGACCTTCGGTAAGGGAAACCATGGGACACCTTCCCATCCAAAATAGGTTGCGATACACTCTGGCTCACGAATCCTGTCAATCAAATTAGTCCAATCAATACTTTGCTGTCCCAAAGGGTCTTATTTGCAAACAAGTGTTCTGAGTGATTCCAAGATACCCCCACTGGTTCTTGGAGGCAAGCAAGTCTGCCATGCAGCTTGTCCCCTGGGGATGGTTCATCATCCGAGGCCAGAAGTACTGATGGTGAGCGCTCAGCTTCTTCTGCATCCTGACCTAGCGGTGCGGAGTCCGAAAGAGGGTTGAGTATATGGCAATGCGTGACGTCTTACACGATGAAATAAGACTGAGCAATGATTGAATGGTCTGGTTGGTTTTATGTCGTTGAGTGATTCAATGATAGCTTCCAGGCATGGAAAAATCCGAACTGATGGTAGGTGTTGTCCATTCTTAGGTGTTCCTAGCATTTTACTCTGCACTTTTGCTATAGTTGCGTTGTAGTATGTCACGAAATGCCCCTGTCAACCCACCGCATGACACCAGCCTGCCTTCCATGTCATCAGTGTCATACAGGATCTCATCTTCCAGGGACGAGTCTTTCACTTCCTTTGAGGTCCTACCAGGCTGGTTGGTCCTAGTTTCTGCAAGGTGTGGACTCGACCCCCAATGCTTCTTACAGTGCTCATTTGGGCAGTAGCTTTCATCGCAGTTGGGATTTGTGTCATGAAGGTTATTGAAAATTCTAGAGTTTGTCGTCCCTGGAAACCATGTGCATCAGCAAACGCTCTACTGAATCTTTTGGGACCCATTTGAAACGTGTCTCTTGTACACCGCACTCGTACCCTTCACAGACCCAGCCCGAGATTGTTTTGCAGCCGCCAATTCAATGAAGAGCTTAATCTCCCATTCCAATCGGAAGTTGGATTGGACCGTCAGAATCTGAGCTGTCAGTAGCAGCGTTGGGGTCTCCACCCAACTTGAGATCAAAGTGTCTCTTGCGGCGTGGCTCTTGCCAGCGTCCTGGCTCGTGATGTTCCAAGCGCATCGCAGGCAACCAGCGGTGCTTCAGAAAACTGTAGGTGGCAGGTTTGGGCTTCCGATGCAATCTGCCCTGGCTCCACCCAAGTAAGTACCTGGCACCTTCATCTGAAATTTCACCACTACGCTGACAGATCGGTACCCTTTTTAGAAGATTCTTTTGAACTTGTTCACCGATCGTTCGTCTGTTTGCAATGCCACATGGAGGCTGAAATCCAATTCTGATTTGCTGAACAGCTGAAGATGGCACAACTGCCATGGCCCGTTGAACCTCGGTATCCGCTAGCCATTTCTTGGTAACGAGAAAAACATCATCGTTGTGGGGTTCCCATCGGCCAGGTAGTTCCTCTAGCTCATGCACGTTGTCCAAAACATCAGCCCCCAAGTCCCTCCGAGAGCAGAATCTCATGTAGTGAACATGCCGAAGACCTTTGAAGGAAAGACCAAGCTGGAAACCAAATCTTTTCCAGCAGGATACCTCGTCAAGCTTGGAGGTAGTAGCAACTGAACCGCGAATCCTGCCTTGTTGCTCGGATGGCTGCCCGTGGTCAATGCATTGCTCTAAGAGACTCAACATCTCATCAGCTGATTGACAAGTCTTACCCATCAAAAGTCGAGCCACTTGCCCAAATACTTGATCAATGTCATCGTGGGAATGACATGTCCTCAAATAGCCGAGGCAAGTAAAGCGAAAAATGCCAAGGACCTGCAGCAGGAGCATAAAGACCACGAGGAAGCGGTTTTTCCCCTCGCGGGGACAATTGTCTTGCTGCAAATGCAGCGTGAGAGGCAGTGAGCCACAATGGTCAAAAAGGTTCTGGAGGGAGAGGACCAGGGCTTCGATTTGTGTTTCAGAGTCTTTCTTAAGATCTTCGTCAGAAAGATACAGGTACAGGCGAAACCCATGTAGCCAGCATCCAATCAGGTGAGTTGCTGGCCGGTAAAGCTTCGTAGCTGCCTTGCTCAGCTGACGATACCCCCACTTTGGCAAGCGTAGTTTAGCTTGATCCATTCCATCCTGTATGGCCGTCAATACAGAGGATGCAAGGTCAGATCCAGCAAACCGTTTGCTGAAGTGAAGTGCCTGGGCAAAATAGTTCCTGCTCAGCGATCTCAGGTTCCAGTAAAATTGTCGGTCAGACCATTGTTGAAGCAAATGTGCTGTGTAGAGTCGGACATTGACTGCTTTCAGTTGTTTGTTTGGTGAGGACCGGATCCTCTTGCGTAGTCGATGGCAGACATCACATTGCCCAAAGTCCCCTTTGTCTCTGAAGCGAAGGTGTGCAGAAAAGACAGCCTTCATAACCCTTCGAAACGTGGTGAATGCGGCTGTGGCTAAACCGGCAGACTCACAGTAAGCCTGATACTGAATGAACAGGTCCATCGGCTTTTGCCACTCCAAGTACCGCCGTGGCCCATCGAAAGTACCAGGTCCACCATGGTTCACCTCAGGTACCAAGTGGGTATTTTTTGAAACTATTGATTCTTGATGCCTTTGATGGATGAAATGAACATTTCAGGCGGATGTTAAAGTATCAAAGTCAATGAAACCTAAAACCTTTTGGTGCAACAACTCTAGATTGAGAGTGAGTGGCAGGGTTCATGTCATAGTTCTTCTCAAGGCAGGCCAAGAAGTTCTGAACATACCTCTCTTGAAAATCTGGGTCTTTGGACATTGTACTCTCAACGAAAGTTCCATCTTGTCCAGGCATGGTGAATTTGACTGGGAGAATCTCTGCGCAACTCATCCAAAGCAGCCAAAAGAACGACATAATGGAGGGCCACCTCTTGTTCTCTGCAGACCGGACTAGTGATACCCCAAGAGAAGGATGATGTGGTTCTTTCACACGCCCTGAGTGCATAGAATAGGCCTTCAGGCCACGCCGTACATTTTGCAGTGAGCCAGACCCAATTGAATATAATCTGATGTGAGCGAACCTGCACACTGGCTTGTGCAAAAAGACCAGCTCGTGAGATCCAGTCCGTTGGGTGGCATACCTGCGAGGTTTCTTCGCTGGTGGTTCACCCCCTTCATTCTCTGAATCAGTGGCTAGCATGATTCCATCACTACCAGTTGGACTGGCCAAAAGTTCTTCTTGGTCAGAATCACTCTGAAGCAAGATTTGATGTTCCACGCCGCCCCCTTCAGAATCTGTTTCCAACAGAAGATCCGATACGGGCAATGCACCAGAATCAAAATCAGCGCAATTCTCTACATCCACATGGTACCATTTTCTCAACAATAGGGACGTGCGGTTTCAGCTATAGCATGAAACCGTTCTGGCTTCTTGCGAATTCTGGCTTTTTTAGGTTTGAGATGGGGGGGGGGGGGGGGGGGGCTCAGAGGTGGGGGCTAGGACCTGGGGGGCCCTGTTGAAGGGCCTAACAGGCCTCAAGGTGCAATTGCCCCAGTGTGGGGCGATGGCCAAAAAAAAATGAAATATCGCTGGAGACTTTGTGCAAAAAGAAAGAACATCCAAAAACATAGTTAGACTGTTAGAAAGAATTGATAGAATTAGTGGAAAAGGGCTAGAAAGGGCAACCTTAAACCAGTGTGCTGAGTGCTGCAGAATAGAAAACTCGGCAGTCCTTTTAAACAAGTGCCTGTTTATTTGCATCATTGAACACTTGATATTTTTTTGGAGGCAACGGCGACAACAGGGCAAAGCCCTGAGTATTAGTATGAATGATGCTAAGTACTAAGTACTAAATCTGAATCTCACAAACCCAGAACCCACCCACAGACTGCGCATGGCGCACTGTAAGACTGTAAGTCACAGGTGAGTCTAAAGCCAAAAGTAACTATGTTGTTGACAAACTATGTTCCTTTCCCTTTCCCTGAGATTTCTGGCGAGTGAGCTGCTCTATTTTGATTCGCGCCAAGGCCAGTCTGTTTGGCTGTCTGGCTGTCTGTGATTTTGGTCGTTGAGCCGGTGAATCTCATTCATCACCTTTTCTCGAACAATTGAACAATTCTTGCGTAAGCCGCAAACCGCACACCAGATAAAGTGCTGATGAGGGGCGGTACGGTAAGTCAGCAAAGAACATAGAACAACAAAAAGGACCGCAAAAGCGACTTGGCAGGAGGAGTCAGGCATATCAGAACTACCAACGAAAAACTTGGCTTGGAAACTTCATTGGTATAGCTGGCCTTAATTCTTGATGAAACTAAAAAACAAAGGTACCCAGAACCTCGCTACTGTGAATTGTGATTTTCTACTGACTGGCCGCTCTTCCTACATCTTCCTCCTCTCCTGCGCAAGCGAAGAAAAACACATTCGAAGAAACTGTTGCAAAAAAGAACTGTACAGTTAGGCTCATTATTGCCATTGTCGGCATCACCGTTGCGCCAACGCTGCGTGCTACTATACTACACTCATAGATCTACGCTCGTGCCACGGTCACTAGAACTCATTTGGCCGTGCCATGCGAGAACTTCAAGAACGCCCCAAGCCACCAAAGGCACCCAAAGATCTTTCTCACAAATGGATTGTGCTGCCCTAACTGGCAGCTAGTGGTTTGCTCTCCAATTTCCAACCCACAAAGTCGGGTACTTGGCAATGACTCAGCGACTAATGGCAAAGCCCACAATGCCAAAGTAGTCGTTCTCTTGCCAAGTAGGCCCCGGATTGCCGGATTGTTTTGAAACTGTCGAAACAATGCATAATGCCGCCGGACTGAATTGTGTGAGAAACATCTAAGCAATGGTAGTTTTCAAAGCATTCAAAGTGTAGGCAGCAGCAGCTGCGTTGGCCATTCATTGCTTTCCGCCAGCACGTCAGCCATCTACTTGAGCACATGCTTGCCCAATTTTTTCATGTCTGTGGCAGCTGCTAGCTTTGCGTCAGAACCCGATCCCTTTCCTTTGCCTTTGCCCTTCCTAGTTGATGACGACGATGCATCTTTTGGATCTTTCGATTCTTGCATCGCTCTCGCTGCTTGCACTGCAGCTTGGACACCAAGAAAAGGATGTGAGGAGGCTTCAGGCTCTGCCTTTGGCACTGCTTCGGCTTCGGCACGGAGTGCTTTGGCTTGTTCTGCTGCTTGTTGCATCAAGACAGCTCGGGCACTACGGGCAGAACGGTCTTCCACACTTGCCATTTTGGTCAAAGGAATCTCCTGCTTCGCTTGGAACTTTTCCGAGTGCAGCTTCAACATTTCATCTAATTTGTCCTGGTCTTGTTTGCCCTTCTCTTCGATCTCCTGCGCACGTTTCAGCTTTTCTTCAGCTGTCTGCTGAGGGATCGAAACCTCTTCAAAGACATTGTCACCACCACCCATCTTCCTCTTGTTGCCGCCCTTCTTCTTGGCTGTTGCCTTGATTGACTCTTTGACTGTCTTGTCGATCAAGCTCTTGGCAATCTTCTCTGCTTTCTCCTTCTGGTGTTTGTGCTCCGCCTCCAACTTCACGGTAACATCTTCAAGAGGTTGAAGGGCGTGTAGAGAGCACTCCACCAGACCTTGTTGATTGTTGGAGAATCAACTCAAAACATTGTTGCTGCTATTTTCCAGCGCTAATGCTGAGGTCATGATGTCATGTTCAAATTCGTTTGACGGTCGCTGGTGACGCATTAACACGTTACATAAAAACTGCAGGTTGCATAGTTGTTGAGTCGTTGAATCTTTGCACAAAGAAATGCAGAGAATGGCTGCTAATGAGTCTGAGAATGAGTCAAGACAACAAACGACTTAGACTTTCACCAATTGTAAATCAATCAGAAGTAGCCACTAGAGGAAAGACGGGGAGACATGAACGTGGGTCCATGTTTACAAGTTTACAAGAACCTGAACTGAAAAAGGCGTTCTCAAATGGATTCAAAAGTCAAAAGTAAATCGCAGAAAGGCAGACACGATAGCAACAAGACCAAGATAATACTTAGGACGTAGCGATGATGCTGAGCAAAGGTTTTAAAACAAAAAGGCAAAAGCACCCATGAAAAAAGACCGTAAAAAGGGCTGACGTAAGAACGGCCGTGCCGACAAATCAATAGAGCTCCATATGAAGGTAGAGAGTCAGAGTCAAAGGGAAATGAACTTATTTGGACATCGCGCGTATGCCTAATATAACTGCCTGCGCCACAACCTGAGCCTAAAGCAAGCAACAGACATGTGGGACAAGAAACACTCTTGATCGTTTGCATATTCCTTCTCGGAACCCACAAGGTGCACGTTCACGTAGAGCAAGGATTGTGGGGAACCTGCTGGCAAGGAAACCTCGACGTAGAACTTCTTCTTGATCTCACGGAAGTACGCTTGATCGGCCTTTGTGACACTCTTGCACGCCCAGGCTGGAACAGCCACATCCTGGCTGACCACGTCGGTACCAGGACTGCTGGTCCAAAAGCTCAACCCAAACACCTCGCACAGCTTGACGTGGGCCCCATTCCTGGGCTTCTGCTGCACCACTGGCCCCACATAAGGCAGCTGCATCATTGAAGGAAGCGGGACCTTCACCTTCACTTGGTCCTTCTTGTCAATCAAGTTGATGAGCACGTGGCTGCCTCCAAATGTCATCTCAGTCGCTTCCTGCCACAGGGCAATCTCCAGCTTCCGCTCAAATGCCTTCAGTCCAGCAGCACACATGTCCTTCAATCCAAGCCTGTGCGCCAACCTTGAGTCATCAAAAAGGGAAGGCAAGGAATCATGGTAGTTGTTGACCTTCTCAAGTGTCATGATCTCCGAAATGTCAACAGTTGCTGCTGGAGCGGTTGACGACGAAGCTGCACTGGGGCCTCCGTTGCTGCCATCCTTGGAAACATTAGTCTCGGGCTCGACAGTAGAATCACCGTTACCTGACGCAGACGCAATTCACATCTTGATGCTTGACCCTTGACACATTCCCAACCAACAACCTTCGCCCGAAAGAGTCAATTTGATCAATGAACCAATAACCAAAAGAATCAATAATAACTAACTACTGTATAACTTTTGAATCTTCACCTCTTGTATTTTGTACTGAATACATGCATTGTGCATTTATTGAGTGAGAATCTGAGAAGATGAGAAAAACACGACACAGCCTACGCTGTAGTCACCAAATGACCTATCGCCTATCTACTACTGTTTGACACTCAACCTGGCCAAATCCAGGTCCAGCGAACAGGAATCCAGTATGAGCATGTGAAAGACAAGAAAAACCCTCCAGCTCACCCACACCACACCCAGCCTTCCGCATCCGTCTTGGGAGTCTTGGCAACAACAGGTGTCTGTGGAGAATGGACCTTGTGCCTCGGGTTTTTGTTGTTGGCAGGCGGGATTAAGCCAACAGCCTTGCCGGCTTCCTGAATAAGTTCACTCATGCCATTGCTATTCCTTGGAGAAGCATGACACAAAACTGGCAAATTAATAGGGTTCCTGTTACTTGATGTGAAACATGGCAACATAGGCCAGCTGCATTGCCTTCCTGAATATCTATATTACATGACATGACCCATGGCTTGATTGAAACAAACAATTAGGAACCAGGAGCCAGCATCACGAATCAGCACGATCTATACGCTTTGATTGAAATGTAGTTTTTCACAAACCTGCTCATGTAGTCACTAAGAATGAAGTGACGAAACAGCAAACAATCCCGAAATGTGAGCCTCGAAGAAATTGAAACCCATCCTTAATAACAACTTAACATAACGGCAGCTCAACATCACACCGTTTAGCCGTGTAGCCGTTAGTTAGTAATTTCCGGGCCTAGTTTCAAGAGCAGGGAGTTCCAACTTGAGACCCAAGTAGTAGGCGGTTGGATACAATCAAAGGCTGTCAATGCTGGCAGTAGATCAGCGAGAGCGCAACCTTCACCACTTGCTGCAGCCTTGCCACCCATCGCCAAATGCTGTGAACATTTCAAGAGCATCTCTCTCTTCTCTGGCAAAATGTCGAACTTGAAGTCCGGCAAGTTTTCGATGGCCTCGTTGAGAATGCTGAAGAGGTAACGGACTCTGATTGATAGGAACCTCTCCAAGTTCTCAGTACTGCCAAAGACCTGACATATGGGATGGATGGGATGGGATGGATTACGGCTTACGGCTTACGGTGATTACGTAATTGCCAAAAAATAAACAATCGCTCAGCACGCAGTAGTCACTGTCAGTATTGTTTCTTAATGCGAATGCAAAGCAAGGATTCCTCAGGAATTCGGGCTCTGGACTCTTGACTCTTGACCTGAGACACGGTCTGGGCTATATAATACTCTAGATAATAGTAATTAGTAACGTCAACATAAATAAGAAATCCTGGCCTTCTGACTGTCTTCCACAAATTCATGGCGATCTGTGTAGACCTCTGAGCAATCAGAAGCAAACACGAGCCAGCTATATGGAACAGAAGCCTCCAGCCGAGTGAAGATGATTGCCAAACCATCAAGAAGGCTCATATTCACTCTGGATGGGCACTTGGCTAGAGCCTCCAAGGCGGCCCGTGGTGCAGTGTGAAGCGTCATAGAAAGATTCATGTCCTTGATGTAGGCAGCACAAGGTGTCACCACATCCGCTCGCTTCATCCAAGAAGCCACGCGATGCTTGGCCTTGGTACTCTCATCTTCCTCATCATCATCTCCTACTGCCACTTGAGTGACAGGGCCACTCACAAAAAGTTTCAAAAGAAGGTCAGCCAATTCTAGCGCGTTCACCACTTCAGTGTTTTCGGTTGTTCCTCCTGCTCCTGCTCGCTTGCGTCTCTTCTTGGAAGAGCCCTCCGTCAACCCAGTAGTTTTGTCAATACTCTGGCTGGAATCAAAGACAAACTGTTCCTGGGACTTGCAAAGGACTGTTTGGAGTTCGGACCTCAATGCGCTCCATGCCCGGCATTCTTTGCCATTCACAGTTGCGCTTCCAGCAAAAATGAACTTCAACCAAATAGCTATGCAGAAAGAGACCGTATTGGCAAACTCTGGCAAAGCCTTCTGAAACCACTCCTGGATTTCAGACATCTTGGACATAGATCTGATGGGGGCATCGGTCGCACTTCGTGCGCATTCCACATGCCAAGCAGCATACATCAATGCCGCTAGCACATCGTCCAGCGCTGTGACTGCCCTTGATTCCCCACCGACTCCACCGACTACACCTTCAATCGATGAGATTGTTACCTCGTAGACCTTCTTCTCATGATCTGAGAACCCTGCAAAGTTACCGTGCTTGGCTTTTTGTTTGCCAAATGGGCCTTTTTGCTCTGCTTCCTCTACAGGCTCAGGATTTTCACCCTGACCATTTGCCATGGTCCCGGCAAAAAAGTTCTTGGCGAACACTTCCTTGATAGAACTCTTCAGGCTGGCAGTTGCTGCCTTGTGTTCATTGGTCTTTGCAACTGCAGTCATCTTTCTAACAGTCGCTGAATGCAACATAGGAAGGTTGACCAGGTTCATGTACTTGGTGGATTCCAAACCGGGTTTCTCAAGGACCCACTCTGCTTCTCCACGATCACGCTCTCTACCATTTGGGATTGTAGGAACCTTAGTCAAAAGTTCGGACAAACGTTACCGATGGGGAGACTAGTTCCCCGGGAGACTAGTTCCCCTTGCTTAGTGCTTGCATCAGTAAAACTGCTCACAAAAACTGGAAACTATAAACTAGGGATCAGCCCAGCTGTAGTGGCTGTAGTGGACTTGAAAGCTACCCTACCCAACCATCCAAACTTTAACATTCAATTTGCAAAAAGGCAGAATTTCAACACCGACGAATTGACGGATTGCGGATTGCGGTGACCACTGGAAGGACGGAAGGTAACAAATGACTTCAATTCATATCCTGCTTGCTTGTCAACTTGTACTTGTATGATTTTTGTATATTCTTGTTATCGTTATATATACATTGTATAAGTTGCATAATTACGTGTTTTTCTTTTGCACTGTGCATTGTGCATTGTGTTGAATTGTGTTACGACATTAAGGTCTATTTCACATGCCTCCATAAGTTAGCCATACGTTCAAAATAAGAACCCTGCTTCTGCATTGCACTGCATTGCTCAACTGAGGATGAAACGCAGAACTTGAGGGCTTCGTAGATCATAATCCCAATCAACTGCTTGTCATAGTATTTCCTCATGGTCCCCTGAATAATGAGGCACAATTGATGCATTTGTGACAAGCATGGGAGCGCCTCAAAACCATCCTTGAGAAAGTTCACATTCTGGTTGAACCATTTGAACAAAGGCTCCCTGATTTGAAAGCGGTCCAAGCAATGGGCCAATGCAAGTGCATCCTGGTAATTGCTCCATGTCTTGAAGTAGCCGCTAAAGTCACTGCTTGCACTTTTTGCCAAGATGAAAGTGGCCTGCAGTTCCATGTACCTCGGGTTCGACGAGCTGAGAAACGTTTTCTGGCAATCAGCTCGCCAATGACTTTCAAGTCGAAGAGCTTCCTGCAAATAGTCCATGATGTTGCTACCCGCTCCCTTGTGAAATCCATTCAGGACAGAGATCACTTTGGACCAAATGCTGTTCGGGGTTCTGGAATCCAAGATTGACACCCGCTGTAGACCTCGCTCAATGGCACTTTTGACATAGAAATTTTCAGGACACTCTGCGTGGGCTCGGTAAAGGGCCTCAGCTCTGTGGTTGAAACTTCCCAATTCAACCGGGAACTCCTTCTGTGCGGATCGAAAGCGCATAATGCACTCTCCTGGTGCGGTGAAAAGCGCCAACCACATCGTTCTCCAACCCACCCACATGCAGTTTGGTTCCGTTTAAAGGGGCTCTCAAGCTGCTCATAGATTTACAGAGACAACACACAACATGTTAATGTTTACGTTTCATGTTCAACACCAACTTTCTTTTTGACCCCCTGCCCAACCAACCCCTCCTGCAACCCGCTGAGACAATCCCTCTTGTAAAATCCGTTGCTTGTACTGGCACACCGTGTCTTCTTGCAATTCCCGCGACCAAGTTGATCGTTGCATAGTCCTGAGCATTTCGCCGCCCTGGTCACTTTTGATGAAGAATGGTACGGTCCTCTCTTCAGCCCTGTAGAACTCGAGAACGGCGTCTACCAATGGCCCGCCATCTAGATTGCCGAAGAGCTGCTCCACTGAAGCATCTTCAGAGTAAGGGTCACAACCAAGCTCAGGATCACTTGGTTTCTTTCCTGTAAGTAGTCCGGGTTTCAGAGATGTCTCCGTCTCCATCTCCGTGGTCATAGTCTTCTGGATGCCTGGCTGTTCGTGTAGTAGAGGTAGTCAAGCAAAAAGAAGCCAACCACTGAACGATTGCCGAGTAGACTCAAACTCTCTGAGCCAGAAAATGACCTACGAGCATGGCAGGCAAAATGGCACATGTATGTAAGTATCACCTCGACAAGTCTTGCCGCCTGTCAAGCTCTAAGCTCAACCTCAAAAGCGTCCACTTCACACTTGGACACTTAGACAACAGAAATCCTTCCTCACTACTAAGTTTGCCATGTGTTGCCTTTGTCATTTGCACATGACGAATGTCACGGCGGTCATCGCTGCCATTTCTAACCTTTCTCAGCCCAGCCTGTCAAATCTTTTCAATCATGTGTGAAGATCCAATGACTGTTCCGGGTCATTGGGGCCCGTGGGGATGGATTTAACAGATTCATGTTCAAATGCAGGAGGGATAGATTTCAAAATTCACAACATGCTTGACGAAGCTAATCAATGATAATGATGAATACGCGCGGCGCTTTGTTAAAAGTTGTAAACGTGTAAACCACGTATGACTTTGAACGATCCCATCCATCTTCACCTAATTAGCCTAAGTACGAGTGCATTGCGCGTGGCCACTCTATCCAGTGTCTCGCTTGCCGATATGGCAGCGTTTCCCAGTGCCAGTTGTGAAGTTGTGTTCAGAGTTAGTTTTGATTTACCCACCATTGATTCTCAAACAGTAGGGCTCGGGGATTGAGTCGGATTGAGTTGGCCACAGCCAAGGCCAGCCGAGGCCAAGGCAAAGACTAACCTGGCAAGCAAGCCTCTTTGGGCGGGGAGCGGTTCCGCGGCGACAAGTCTCTAGCAACGTCCTGGAAAGTTTCACAAAAACTTGACAAATTGACAAACAAGCATGTCACAGTCTCGCAGACCAAAGACCTGTTTGGTTTTGTTTCGTGTATCAACATTTCAACGCTTGTCAGTTTTCCCAGTCTCACTGTTGCTATCAGTTACCAGGTGCTCTCACTGCTGCTGCTTGCTTATTTATATAGATTGTATCCGCATCCGCTGCATTGAAATCCACTCAGGTTTCAGTCACTTACTGGACCGAATGGAATCCTACGAATGGAATGAATATTACACTCAGACCACTCAGGACTCACCATCACCACCCCAAGTTCGCCAGCCGCAGATCACACCACGATTCACAGCAATCCAATCAGCAGCCAGCCCACATCGAAATGATGCATTTGATCAATCTGATCAAAGAAGTCAAAAGTTGGGTACGCATTGTTTCCCTCTCACCCTCCACCTCCTTTTGGTCTCATCGGCATCACCATCAGTACCTCCTGATTGTCTCCTTTTTCTCCCTGCCTCAATCATCATCTGTCGTTGGTATTTCGAGGCCAGGGCCACACTTGAGAGGATTCGCCCAGGCTTCGCGTAGTGGTAGCATGCCAAGCTATGCATTTGCACGACGGTCATGACGAGGACACTCATTCCATTTCCTGCTTGCTCTGCTGCAGCACGAGAAGACCTGGTAGTTCTAGGAACATTGAAGCTGCATAACGGTGTGTTTGGCTTTGGTCCTTTCAAGTTCCAAACTCCAGCCACCACAGGAAACCCCTGTGTCGATAACACCTCACACCCGAACATCCAGCGTGGCGGGTCAACTGCTTGGGAAAATAGTAGTCCCGCATTGTGGATAACTGTTTGCAAGCTCCACGGGTTGCTATGGGAACCATGGTTGGAATCAGGGTCTTGATTGAGCTGAAAGGCCTGCCCAGGCCATGATTTCTCGTAGCTTCTGAGATACATTTGCCTCAGATGTTTTCTGGTCGGCAAGTTGACAGTTGACAGAAATTGCAAATCAATTGGTTCAAATGAAGTGCATTGCAGCAGTAATACAAACTTGCAAAGGAAGAGCAGGACACACACACACCCATGATTTGACATGGGTTGCCGGTTGGATCGTTGACTCTTCAAGTTTGAATATACTGATGTTTGCCGATATTATTTATGTATTCCCTGTCCCAGAAGTTGGCCTACGTGGCCTAAGTTGGATCTAACGTTTCCATGTCTAGCTTAGCTAACATACGTCGTTCGTATGTCACAAGTCTGACTGGGGTAAGCACTCTGTGGGTGTCAATGCCTGGATGAAAGACTGCTTGTCCTTAAGTGACAGGTCATACTCAAGCTGTTGTGCACAGGACGACGGTCTGCTGGCTGCCCACAGCAAATCCTCCAATGCCTCATTGGGAACAATGCCATCACCGGCGCTTTCATCAGCACAAGGATTGATGAAATAGTGCTCTCGCCATGAGTACTCAACTGCACGAAAGAATCTCTTCATAAAGCTGGAGAGCGGGCTGACCTCCGACATGATCTTGCTTCTATGGCGGAAGCGTATGAACTGACGTTCACGACCGCACGCAATTCCAAATTGAACAGCGTCCATCTTGACTGTGTCAATGAAATAGACACCTGCCATAAACCTAGAGAAGAGATCAACCGGACAGCGGGCGACGTTCTCCTGTGTGATGTCAGCTTCACAGCAGTGTAAACGAAGGGCAATCCAACATAGCGTGTGAACTATGCTGGGGTCTGCCAGCATAAGGCCCGAGCCCTTCTGCGAAAATCCAACACAGCTTGTGCCGGCTATGTGCCGGCGAGCAACTCGAAGCTTGCAAACTTTGCCATGGTTGAGGCAATATGCGCTGTCCTTGACCGCCTTTCCTTCCAGAATGATCGGTGCCAGAATATCTACGGCCATGCTTGGGTTTTTCTCCAGTTGCTGGATCACCTGCTTGATTTCGTCCCTCCAGAAATCCTTGGGGCGTCGAATGGCTGGCTGAATGTTTAAAATGCTGTTGGACAAGCAATCACCAACAGGCCTATAGCCTATAGTACCTGTAGCTGTGACATATACCAGGGGAGTGACATAGAGACAAACACAATCAACACCCACCAACCCTGCCCACAAGCCTCATTCAGTCAATGACGGCCCAATTGACCCAATTGACGGCAACCAAAAAAGTCGGAGTCAATGCGGTGAAGGACATGGACGTGGTGACATGGAGGTCGAACAATGGAACAACTTCAACTTCAGCATTTCTAATTTCTAATGTTTGAGTAGTTTGTTGTGATATGATGTTCTGACATTCTAGCTGAGAGGAGTTGTAAACCCTAATTAACCTTCAACCGCTTTAGAGCAGCCAGGATTCGCTGATGTTCCCAAAAAGGCACGTTGAATCGCAGTTGGGAGCAGGCATATTGTCATGACTGACTCCAACCTGCTTGAAGAGCTTCAGCTCTTCCTGGGCTGAAGCGTCCCACTCAGTTTGGTGCAGAACTCTCACAGATCTCACTGGGTATTCTTCACCGTTCTCTGTCACGAGGTTGTTGGAGAGAGCATAGCGCAGGCAATGCATGGCACATTCTGGTGTCCCAATACCTGAGCGAAGCAGGTAGACTGATGAGACCATGAGGGGAAACGGTACTATGCAGCTTAAGCTTATGTAATGCAGGACCGCAGGGTCATCTCTTCCGTAGTTGGGCGCGATCATGATCAATCATTTTGTAATCTATAATGGTTGAATAGGACAGTGTCCAGTGTCCCAGCTTCTTTGGATAGGCCCTGCCTTCAACAGTTCCACACCCAATGACAAAGGCAAGCCTGTCTATCTGATGTCTTTGTTCATTTAGTATTTGTCAAGCACTCATCAGAACCGGACCGGACTCTTTTGTTGTTTTACTAGGAATTCCGGTATTTATCAATGCTGACTTTTTGATTGTTCCCGTGTATATATCTTATAGACACAAGCCTGCAAACAAGGAACCACTGAAAGCCGTGCTCAGAGAGTCATCAGACCAGTTTCCAAGCAAGCAATCAAGTCCCCCTCCTCGTTCTTCGACATCAAGCTCGTGAATGCTGTCATCCCAAAATCGATAAACTTCTTGTAGTGACTTCACCGTCTTTCTGTCAATCGCTTGTGGTTGAGTAGCCTGAGTAGCCGCCGCACAGCTTTCGCCTTTGTTGTTGTTGTTCATCTCAGTCTCAGAATTTTGTGTTGCCATTGAACCATTCAAAGAAGCCGTTGAAGTAGTAGAGTCCACTCTGGCACACTTGCCGGCTCCCATGTCATGTAACTGGAATGGGTCGCCATGATGACCTCCTGATGGCGAAGATTGTTGCACCGCATCACTTTCATGGTTCTTCCTGGCTGGTTGATGTGTTGGCTCCCACAATGGGTGACTTGTCTCAGTCTCATTGTGTTCTGCTGGCTTGTGTTCTGGTCCTGGTGCAGCTTCAGGGCACTTCTTCAATGCCACATCATACTCAGCCCCAGGCTCAAATGACTTCTCGGCATTCTCGAACTTCTCTGCATTGATGTTGACTTGAGGAGGATGAACTGATTGAGGTGGTTTCTCAAGTGATTCACTTTCACTCGGAGGAAGAGGCAGAGGCAAAGCCACGCTGGCAGCACTGGTGTCGACCGGGCTGGCGCCAGCAGTTGCAGCCACATTCTCTTTGGATGCCTCATCCGGACCACAATGCGCACCCTGAGGCTGAGCCTCATCCATCAGCCTCTCCACACATTCCGTTAATGTCGTGTGCACGGAATGCTGACTATCATCCATCTGGGTTCGGTTTGGAGAGTCTGGTGGCTCTGTCTTTACCTTTGCCTGCGGCTGCATTTTCAAGAGCTTGGTTTCTTTCTCTTGATCCGCTTGGCTCTCGTCTGCCAAGGCCCTCTTGCGAGTGGATTCAAACATGCTCTTGATATCTTGCTGCGGAGACTGAGACTGATGAAGTTCATTTGTTGGACTGGTGACAGCATCAGCATCAGCATCATTTGCAGGTTTCTGTGTCGGTGGTGGTGGTGGGGTGTACAACTTCTTCTTCGAGACGATGGCGTCCCTGTCACTGTTGGCCATACACATGTTAAATGTGACCCAAGGCCCCTGCTCCTTACTGGTGAAACCACAGAAAAAAGGAGCAGCAAAGGAAGTGTTAAGCATTGAGATAACCGGAACGAAACTTGGCGCAACTTGACAGAACTTGCCATCAATTAAAATATAAGTAATATAAGTAGTTGATCACAGTTGTAAGTATAGAGACAACCAAAATGCTACAAACCCGAATCTCGAAGCACCCAAGCCGGCCAAAAGTATGACTAAAGTGTTGTCAAAAATCATTCCCCCATGGAATGTACATTGGCGTGTCCAGCAGGTGCAGAACGTCAAATTCCCACGCGACCCAAAACTCTGACTTTCCTTGGGACGCCCTCAGCTTCTGGTAGTCTTTCTCTGGAACCTTGTGCATGTGGTAGAAGGCGTTGAAGTCGTAATGAGGGTACTTGTGGTTTTGCTTGAAGCGCAACTTAGCCATGACCTTGAGGAGTGGCAGTCCATGGACATTCTGTCCCTGGGCTGACTCTATAAGGTAACATTCTTCAAGTGGCTTCAATATTCTGCAATGAAAAGATCTGATCTCCCATACCACGTTCCCTGGCTGGAATTTGAAGGTCCATTCGGGCTTCACCAACAGTCCACGATCGTGAATGGGAGGCATCGCGGAGCTTCCAAACATTGAAGTCTGAATGTGTGCTTGCTTTGTTTGATTGGCGCTTGCTGGTTGTAAGTTGTGTTTATCGAGCTGTGGCTATTGGAAACAAGTGCAGAGTGGCCACTCCACTCAATCAATGGTACAAAACAAATGATCGGATTGAACCACCATATACGCAAAGCCAAGAGCATCATAGTATAACATAGTGTTTGTTTGATGTGCGCATGGAAAGCACAAATCTTGTTCAGAAACAAAAACATGCAATGAACGAACTTGCTCAATGCAATTGCTGTGGTGCATTAAACACATATTTCACACACAATCAAAAACCTAACTGGAATGTAAATGCTTTCCCAATTTGAACACAAGCAACAAGCGGACAACCCCAGACCCTTCAAACCCTGGCCTCAACCCCAGAATCCCACCCCTGGAACCTCAGATTCTGGCC